CTGCTCCATGACTTTGCCAGACACTGGCAAACTCTTCTGCCAGCTCCCATATCACCCTGGGATAGATCCCATCTGGTCCTATAGACTTGTGAGGATCCAAGCAGCTAAGCAGATCACTAACCATTTCCTCTTGGATTTCACGGGGGCTATTTGGCTTCCTATCTCTGTCTATCAGCTCTAGAGTCCAGTTGTCCCGAGGACAACCTGCCCCAGTATTAAAAACTGAGGCAAAGAAGGTGTTAAGTACCTCAACCTTTTCTTCATCTTGGGTCACTCCGTTCCCTCCCATATCCAACAAGGAATGAAGGTTTTCCTTGCCTTTCTTTCTGCTGTTGATGTATTTATAGAAACACTTTTTGATATCTCTAACAGAAGTGGCAAGACAATTCAAATTGTGCCTTTGTGTCTCTAATTTTCTTACTACATGACCTGACTATATTCCTGAACTCTTCTTGAGTAGCCTGCCCTTTTTTCTAGAGTTGGTAAACTCTCTTTTTTTGCAGAATTTCCTGCAAAGTTTCCTTCTTCAGCCAGAAGGATGCACCTCACCTATTTTTAAAAGGGTTTAGAGCTCAGTTTGCTTTGGCATAAAGTTGAGCTTTTTTCTCATATGGAATTTTTCAACTCCAAAAAAAAAATTTGAAATGCCTTTACTGCTGATGTCCAGTGCAAAGAACTGTTAGCAGCAGCATGTGCTAACTTCACACAGGGGTCTCTGATACACCTTCTAAAGGGGTTTTTATGGTCCTATAGACATTGACCCTAAAGGAGATTTTTAGACAATACTCTAAACAACGTTAATACTATCTTTTCTTACCATGGTATCAGTATATTCTTCCAGCTTAGCTTCAGTTACTATCTTGTTATGCTGAGAAAAGAGATCTCGCAGGAAATCCTGTAGTAAGAAAAGACACAAATTTTACTCTTTAGAGTAAATTCAAGAAATAACAGTACAAAATTCAATTCAAATTCCGCAGGGTCCCATGAATCTAGTTTCACATCGCTGGTTGCTACTAGTGTCTTCAGTTTGACAAAATTCAATTTTTTTTTAGCTAAACATACATCTTCAAATAAATTAGAAAATAATGAAATTTCCCCAAGCAGGAATATGAGCATGGGTGCTAATTAACCCACAAATTAGGCAAAAGATAACATAAGTCCTGCAATACTTGCTAACTGATCTCAAATCAAAATATTTGCCATTCAGCAGAACACTTAAGCATCCTCTTATATCTTTGCTAGGATACAGGTTGAAGGCACACACTGAGACTCAAGGTCTGCAGCCCAGACTTTTGTGCCTGGCTGGCTCAAAGTGTTTGAGTTACAGATTCTGAACAGGCTTCTGCCTCAATAGCCTGAGCTTTAACCAGGAATCAGTGTTCAGAAAATCTGCAGGCTCAGGAAGAGATTGTGAAGAAATCCCATCAATAAAACACAATGGCTTTGACTCTGCTTATCTGGGAGAGTCACATGCACGAAGTCAAGGTGAGGCAGCACTTGTGGGGCTCATTGAGTGTCTTGGGGTCACCAAGACAAGTAGGGTTATGGGAAGAGGCAAGGGGAAAGCAGATCAGCAAGGGCAACACATTAGCATCCTCCCTCTTGCAGGGTCCCTGAGAACACCCCAGAAGCTTGGAGGCTCCCCAGACCTTAAACTTTCTATGAACAACCTAGAAATGCCATTTGTCAACAGCAAAAAAAAGGCAGCAAATTGGTATAGCTGATGGGAAGGCTCCCATTGACATCAGTGAGCTGTAGATCAAGCCCAAAGGGATTTGTTAGAATAACTTACTTTGAGCTCACCAGATGAAATAAATCCACTGCTGTCAGCATCATAACTGCGCCAGATCTGGATGGGGATGGATTGATATGAGCACATAAATATTGGAGTTAATCATCTGCTTGGGTGACAGATTGTAAAGATTCAAATCAGAACCTCCATAATGAGCAAGCTGTTGCATTATCCAATACATAATTAATTGTAAATGAAATAAACTTTTTACACAATAGCTTTTACTCACACTTGGATGCTGTACATGTGACATGCTGCTATCACATGTTTAATGCAGACACACTGTCTAAAAAAGGAAGAAAAGACTAAGAAACTGCTCTGTGTTTATTACCTAATTTGTACATTCAATTTCATTTATTGCCCTGAGTAGAAGTCAAGGCTATACATAACTGGCCACGGATCTGCAGAAGCCCAGCTTGCATGTGAAATAAAAGTAACTGCAAGCAGTCTTGGAAAAACTGAAATTCCATGCTGGGATACTTAGGGACAGAGACTGGGGGGGAGATTGGGTAGGGTTATTTGGGCTTTTGCTCCTCAGTTGATCCAACTTATGGAGGTTTTCCAATCCACACCCTGACAGGCTAGTTCTTTAGCATAAAATGGTGCTTTAAATGTACCTGGTCTGCCCTATTGGTCAATGTTGTGCTGCAGATGAGGAGCTGCAGCTTTGGCTCACAAGGGCTGAGCTCACCCAACAGGGTGAATTTACCAGTGGGGAGGTTGCGTCTCTGGTGGAATGACTGATAAGTGGCTAAGAGCATTTGTGAAATTTAATGAGCTCTCTGGGTACCCTTGGTCCAGTCCTAGCCACCACATCTCTGTTTTGTTGGTGTAAATAACATACAACCTTCTCTACCTGAACAGATCAGAATGTGTTTTGCTTCCACAACACCCATCTATTTCCCATACTCTGCTCTACGGAGGGAGGAAGAGTTGGTATTGAAGAAGCTGTTGGTGTGCAAGGGGAAGAGGCAATGTGGAGATACAGACCCGCATGAATTCCACACTGTTGTCCAAGGGAGTTTCCCGTCGGAAAAGCAGTAGAAAGTTCTCATCATCTGGCAAGATAATATTTGCAAGCTGGAAAAAAAACACCCCCAAAGCATTAAAAAACTCACCACAACAAAACAAACCCACACCATGAAAATAAAGAAAAGAAAAACTTGGGTGGCTGCTGACCCAGTATGGGAAATATAAGTTGGGCATGTTGCTCTCTTGGAAATAAACTCCAGATCAAGAGATCTGGCTGACATAGTATTCCCTGACTCACCTCCTTCCCATCCAGGCTCTATCTTCCAGATCTCCCGAGTCTGCTATAAGTCTTAATCAGAGAAAGGTTTAGGTTGGAAGGGATCTTTAAAGGTTATCCAATCCAATCCTCCTGCCACGGGCAGGGGCATCTTCAGCTAGATCTGACTGCTCACCCCTCCATCCAACCTGATCTTTGATGTTTCCAGAGATGGGACACCTACCACCTCTCTGGGCAACCTATGCCAGTACTTCACAACTCTCATCATAAAATATTTCTTCCTTATATCTAGTCTGAATCTACTCTCTTTCTGTTTAAAACCATTATCCCTTGTCATATTGCTACAGATCCTATAAAACTCTGTTCTAATCCTCCATCCTTTTATTAAAGAAATCCTGGGCTCAGGTTGGGCAGATACCTCCTGGATTTTCAAGCGTCCATCCGTGGTGACATTGTAGACAGACATGAATTGCTCCTTCATCCTCTGAACATTTTCTTCTGTGATGGTGCTCTGCCATGGAGAAAACAACATGTGCATGAAACTTGCTGAGGGCACTAGAAGAGTCTCCTGGAGGAAATCTCTCCATACTCACAGATAACCACTGGGATCATTGTATCTTTACAGATGGGGGTAAAGCTTCTAAAAGTCCACAAAGAGACCATTGCAGAAGAATTTTTGGAAATAAGTTCTGTGCATAGCTTTGCAGCAACTAAGCTTTCAGTAGCAAGATCAGTGTTTGGAGACCCCAAAATATTTCAGTGCCATCTGCTTCTTTGGCTAGCTGTTCTCATTATTTCCCTGGAGTTTGGTTTTGGTCAAGTTTGTGATACAGAAGTTTTCATCCTGCTTGTTTTCAACTTGTGCTTTTCAGGAAGGTATTTTTATCTTTGAATGACATCTCTGTAGTTCATTAGATCATCATCCTTGAAAGGTGTCAGTGGAGCTAGATAGTTGCTTATTATTGCCTGTCAGCTGGTTCAAGACCTGGCACCAAGCCCTGTCAGTGTTCCTGGGTTAATAGCATAGAATTTCAAGCAATTGACATTCCCTTTACATCTGCTCAACCCCATAATCGATTTATACAAAGTGAGGAGTTTTCAGGACTTGCCAGGTTATATGTTTTGACAGGCATCGCTGTGACAGATGAAATACAATGCTTAGGTTCATCAGGCACAGTTTCTTTAGCAGCAGCTGTGAGGGCACCTAGTCTGACTGGACTACAAAAAGTACAGTTTCCCTTGAGAAAAGGCTTCTGACCAGATGAGCTTTGTGACTGGGATGGGAATCTAGATAATCTCATCCAACAACTAATGAATTCCTACATTACCCTCTGCATCCATATGAAACAGGTCCTGGCTTCTCTCCCAGTCCTGTGGGAGGTGGCCCTCTCTGGGGGAGGAGGGAAAAAAGGGAGGAGCATAGTCCAGACTGGCTCTTGACATAGCTTTGTTGCAATATGCACAAGTCAATAAATTATATTCTACCTAACCCCTGAAGAAAACCCCTTTAAAGTCCAGGTGGACTTAAGGACTACAGCTGTGCCTTCCTGAGTCTTTTAACTCTGATTCTCATCCTTTCAGCTACTATTGTAGCCCCATCAAATTGTATAACTCCTTTCTTAATACTGTGACACAAGACCATGACTGACTTTCTCAAATTTACTCCGTGCATCACTCCATGCAGTGCAGCCCCTGGGACACATCCTTTGGGTACAACACCAAGGGCAGGTAGCTTCCAGTTGGGGGTTGAAACACCCAGCAGTGATCTCCCAGAGGTGCTCCTGGTGCCTGTTGTTGGCCCTGTGCGGGTCCCAGTGTGTGGCTGCAGGATACTCCTTTCCTGCAGTGCTGGCCAGGAAGCCCTGTGGGCTGTGTGACTGGGTGCCTGCACCACTGCCCCAGGTGGTGTTCATTGCTGCCCCCCTCCCCAGGTTCAGGCACTGAGGGCACAGCGCATCACTGAACACGCTGATACAGCTTTCTTTCCCCTTGGCATTGTACCTTGCTCTTGTGCTACTTAGATTGCCTTCTAACAGCACCTTACTGCTTTGAGACACCTCCCAGGAGCTAGGCAAACCTATCAGCTGCTGACTTCAATAGGCTTGCAAAGTACTCTGAAATTATCCTCTTCCATGCCCTGTAGAATAAGTTATTTCCAGAATGATAATCATATCTGATATTAGAATAATATGCTGTGGAGTTCAGATGAGGCATTCGTTAAGAGAGATTATTGCTCAACTTCCTGTCAGCTCTTAACCACCACTTCATTGAACTTTCTGTGGCAGGAACACTGTTATCTGAGTAAAAATAAGACAGTATCCTTTTTTTAAAAACTGACTTAAACTGTGAGATACATCAAGTAAATGCCTGGAATACTTACAATATTTACACAGCTCCAAAAGCTTTTAGTCCAAGGGGTTACACCATAGTGGATTTTTTAATTTGGTCTATCTCCCTCTGTTCATAAGTATTCTACTTACGAAACACAAGTGGTAATAGATCTGTCAACCCTAACCTTTGCTCACAAAGAATAAAAGATACTGCACAAACTGGCTTTCCCAAGATGTGTGCTTAAGGCAAAATTATTTGTATATTACACATTTTTACACCAAGAACAATGCACCTTGGGTTATGAACATTAGGTTTCAAAGGTGACCTTTAGGTTTACCAAAAAAAAAAATCCCAATCCCAGAAGATCGAAAAGAAAATAGATCAAATAAGACATTCCACTTTCAAGCAGAAACCAAGGGAAACCTGGTCTCCAAGATCAACCTACTGGGGGTGAGGACCAGTAGCTTGCTCTGATTGCCTGTCTATTCCAAAACATTTAAAATGCTGGAAAAAACCCCATAATCTACATAATTTTTCCCCTTGTCCAAGCAAGGACTGCAGAGTCCTGCTGTACTTGCTGACTCTAATGTGATTTTGGAGGTCTGTGGCCTGTGGTGGAGCAGCCTGAGCAGGCTGCAGGTGAGAGCTGGGGCAGACAGCTGGAGTTGCTGATCCCTCCCTGAAGACTTCAGGAGCATGTTGGATTCTCTGGCTTGTTTATATTTTGTTCACATATGGGTTTGCCTTCAAATCAGTGCTGGGACATTGCTACAGCAAGGAAGAGACACTGGGAAACTTGTGAGTAGTTCAGCCAGAGCTTCATGCCTAGACAAGTGCGTGTTCCAGAAACAGAGGGGGAAAAGTATTTGGCAAAGCATTGTCTATGCAATACTTCAGGATTTATGGAGCCAAGGCAGGCTTTTATTAGCCAGATATGTCCCTGGTATTATTTGTATTGGTGCAGTGTCCTGTGAGTCCTAGGAAGACTTCTGAAGGAGACCCTAGCTGGGAAGAAAGGAGATGGACAGACACAAGTAGCAAGCAAAACCAGACAGCAGGAAAATAAAGAGAGACATTATGGGAAATATTAAAACTTTTAAAGGCACTGTAGATACAGCAACTGATTAAACTCATGTAAATACATTAAGCAAATTTTTTTTCCAATAGTACTGATGGTTTGTACAGATGGGAATCAAGTATCCCTAAAAAGGACAAAATAATCACAGATAAGAAATTGCAGATGACGCAGCTGCTGCAAGGCAAATCCCTGGGCAGGGATGCAGCAACCAGCTGTCAGTGGGAGTGGGCACCTCTCACCCTGCATGGGGGGCCTGGCTGAGCTGGGATGATGAGGCAGTGAGGGGCTGCACAGGGTCACCAGCCAGGCTGAGGGGTACAGGGGCCCCCTCACTGCCTAGGCCACCCTGCAGTGAGGTTGCTGAGGAGAGGCCAAATGTAAAAACTCACTGGTCAAGAGGCCTGAGTTCCCTTGGGCCCCTAAAAATATATCCCTGCCTCTCCCATTGGGGCAAGTCCTTTGATACAGGGAGAAAGATCATGAGCAGGAGAGCAAGACTCTGAGACCTCCAGGTGGGTTTTGGCAGGGATGTATTCATACAGAAACACATGTGCTGCACCAAGTGTGATGGTGCTATGGCCACCAGCTTCCCTGGGAAGTTTGTTTTACCT